CAAGCAGCATCTCTATTCATCCCATGTCACTTGACTGCTTTCACTGGGCATACACTTCCTTTTTCACCTTATTTCCACGAGAAGATTCCTGTTCATCCAAGCCAACCTTCTGCCTCTCCTGCTCAACTTCCGGCATTTGGGAACTATTGCTCCTGTGCCCTTAGGAGGTGATGTTTAAAATGTGCCGGCACTGATGGACCCCAGGACCTGCTAAACAATTTTAACATTTTCGTTAAAAAACTGTTTTTGCAGGTGCTGGAGTCCATCAGTGATGATACTTCCTCTTGTAGGTGTCCTGGGATTGTTTTGGGGTCAATGTAGGGGAAAAAGGTCTAAGTAGTTATTACAGGTGCACTGCTACCAGCACTTTACTGTTAGTTAGAATTACATGAGCTAAACCTGCTATGAATTCTTGATGTTTTGGGGAATTATTGTAGATTTTCATCTCTCCTGCCATGAGGGCCAGTGATAAAAGCCAAATAAGAGATGGCATAAAAGCTGTCCATGGAACAGTTAAAAACATAAAGCAAGAACATTTTAGAAGCTGTTAGGTACTACAGTTTTACCTTCAGGATACTCATAATAAATGAAAAATGTTCTGTTTTGCTTTGTTCTCTGGTAGTGAAATGTTTGATGCATGCTATTGTGTTTTGGGTGGATAGTGAAGCCATTTCTTGAGCAGGAATTACCTCCAGTTTGTTGTTGGCATTGCTGTTAAGCCCAAGTTGAATTGAATTTTCAGTAAAATTGGCTGGTTTTTTGTGATTTTTTTTTTGTTTGTTTGTTTAGTTTTTTTTTGGGGGGGTGTGATTTTTCTGGACGGTTAAAAGTTTTTGCTTCAAGCAATATGCTCTGGCTACTGTTGGGTACTTATAGCTAAGATATGTAAACAGAATGGACCAAGGTCATCCCTGGCGTAATTTACTGGAATTCAGCGCTGTCACACCGGGAGTGAATTTGGCTCACTGTTTTGGCATTAGCAGTAAAGGTCATTCCTGCAGTTTGCCCTCGCTATAGAAAGTGTGATGAAAAAGTTTTCCATTTTATTTCCCTTTTGATGGTCACATTAAATCTTATTACACTGTTGGTGCTTACCTCACTGAGTGTCTGTGGGTTTTCTTTATAGGCAAAGCTTTCATCCCTGGACATCCATAAATAACTCTATTCACCACACTTTTTCCCACAGCATTTGAGTTATGCTTCCGAGCTGAGACAAGTGTTAGCTTGCATGTTCTGCAGATGGATTTCTGATTCATTTTTGTCCATTTCAGAGAGGTGTTCTACCCCCGGATCTTCCATTCCAATCAGATCCACCTGCATGTTCTCTCCAGCACCATGCCTTTGAGAGGGCACTTGTCCAACTTTTCTGATTAAAGTGGATGCACTACTGTAGATACAGAGCCCTTGAAAGCAGAGGCTGCTGCTGCAAATTCACTTTTTAAATTTGTTTCTGAAAAAGATGTTACAATAAAAAGAGAAAAAGTGCTAACTGCATATTTTTTCAATAAAAGGGTTAGTATTTATGTACTTGGGGAAGTTATGACTCAGTTTTATATTATTCAGGATTTCATTTGTGTAAGTTACTTTCTGATTAGTTATTGATTATAATCAGAACCTTTGGAGCTAAATGTGCAATATAGCTAATAACCAGGTCTTCTGCAGATGAAGAGGATTCTTAAATATAATTTTGATGCACTTTACAATTTCTATTTATTGAACATTGTCACAGACGGCAAATTGCAGCAAGCCATTGAAACTATGGCAGTGGCAGAAGGTTTGCAGTATTTCTGTAAGCAGGAGAATGACAGAATCTTAAAAAAGGTCTTTTTTCTCAGTCTCTAAAGTTAAAACAATAAAAAGCATTTTAAAATATCCCCTTCTATCTAATTTGTTTGGATTCAGGCTGGTTAAATCTCATGCATTGACTCTAAGACTCTTATAATAGGTAAGTGCTTCATCAGTTCCCACTGGCTGGCAGGGGTTATAGGATTAGACAAGGGAAGAAAGTTCCTGAGGTTGCACCAACTGCTGTGTCACCTAAGAGGGTCCCTGGTCAAGGTATATTTCCCAGCTCCACTATCATGTTATTCCTACCCTATGAGGCCTCCTGGGCTTCAGATAGCCTATCAGAAGACTAAAAGCACCAGGTATTTGTCCAGTATGTGCACTGCTTTTAGTCCTGGGAGGTGACTTCAGAAATCTACTCTGGACACAATAAAAAGCTTCTACTCGATAGGCAAAGGCACAAAAAAGGAATGATTAGTACAAAGCCCAAAGAATTGATACCAAGCCCAGCAGCCCGTGGGAAAACAGAAGGGTGCTGTGGAACTGGCTGCAGAGTGAAACATGCTCCTTTGATCCAGGCAGTATATCTGGCTGGTTTTTAGATGTCTTTTTCATGCTTAGTGCATATTTGCTGGCAGCAGACATGGAGGTAAAAAATATGCACTGAATCTGTTAAAGGGTTCCCCTGAAGTTAATGGGAGTCTTTCAATGGGTTTTGGCTTAACATATTCTGTATCACTGAGCTAGAGAACTGTGTTCTTCCATGAGTTTTGGTCAGTAAATTATAGTAGGCTATAAAAAATAAAATAAATATTTATAACATAATCTCTCTCATGAGATAACATTGCATTAATATTCACTACAAATAGGAATCCCACTGACAAGATTAGATAAAACTTTAAAAAAACAAATTTATTGTCTAAAAAAAGGTAACACAAAACAAATCCAAGGTAAAAATTTTTCAGAATGTTTCAGAATTTTTCAGTTCAACCAAAAGTTATTAAAGTTGGGGGGGTTTTTTGCAAGTATATAGTCTTTTTGCTGCTTTTAATTTGCGTTTTGAATCAATCAAATCATGGAAAGTGAAACAGTAAAAATTGCAGCATAATACATAATACAGATAGTGAGTCTGTAAATGAATAAGAATTTATTTCAGGGAGAAACTAAGTCTCTTTGAAAATTACATTTTTTTTTATGAACTTTGTCCAAACTTTTTAGCTTCTAATGAAAAAAAAACAAAAACCAAGAAAGAGTGGTTAAATAAAGCTCAGATTTTGAAATAAAATGTATTATTTGCCTTGTTAATACAAAAAGTTCTAATACCATTAAAAAAGCATATGAAACTCTAGTACAGACTCCATCAAGACTCTCATGTTAAAGATTTTCAGCTGAAGTTTTTTGCCTCTTGTTGCATCTCTGTTACTTGATTCAAAATTCATGGCATGTATTCCCTGCATCTTAGTTATGAAATTGTTTGATGATAATCATAAACCCCTGACTACTAGATACAGAACCTGCAAAAGCTTTTGAAGTTACCTCTTGAACACACAAGAAAAAATTTAAAAGCCAGACGGAGAAACTATTTACCAAAATCCCATCAGAAATACATAGGCTTCGGCTATTCAGGTCAACAGAAAGGAAGTCATGGCGTAAACAGGGTAAAACAATGTTAAAAATATCTGATAAATTAGATTCATATGTCATAGTGACAAACTTCGGAAGAACTGGAGTTTCTCTAGACTGTGGATCTGCCTTTGTATTCACCCTCCTCTGCAGAAGTCATAAGACACTAAAGAGTAACCCCAGATGACAAGTCCCATATTTTCATTCTGGAAGTTCAGACTGCCCAAACAATTAAAATAAAGGAGAGTCTTGGGATTTTAAGTGTTATTACACTAAACGGTCTCTTCTATTTTGTATGAGGAGGAGAAATCATGAATGCAAAGAAAAAATTTCTAAATGCTTCAATTTATTTTCAAACTGTACTTTAAATGAGCCCATTTATATATCTAGAAGGGGTCTCATTAACTGATTTGAAGTTGGGTTAGAGCTTTATAGCCTCTTTTCACTTTCTGAAAACTTGATGTCTCATTTCATTATGTCACAGTTTTTAATTCTAGCGGAGGTAAACCTAGACAATATTCCTAAGTGTATGATAATTGGTGGGATGTATGAAGTGAAATTCATATCCTTCACATCCATGGATTTACTAGTTGCAATTCTTACCTGTATCACCTATGACAAAGCAAAAAGACTTTTCCATTACTCCTTGGCTGGTTCTTAGTTTCAGGATAAATTATCTGTAATCTGATTATATGTATCTTAACCAAAACATTTTATCTGTTTTATGTACTTTCTTTTTAATTGAAGAATTTTCAGTCACACTGAGAAAGGATGTATCTGGGACTGACATCAGATCATCAGATCCTTCTCAAAGCCATTGGTACAAGGGATGTGGTTATCATTCTTTCACTCTATGTATGTGTATATTATACACTATAGTGGATGGAGATTTGCCTGATATGCTTAAAAATTTTTAATAATTTGTAGCTATAACCCCCAAGTTCTAGAAATGAATCTTTTTATAATAAATTTATCTTTTTGAATTAATTTCTTTAACCTCTACTTGAAAGGGATCAAAATAGACAGAAGTCTGGACATCTGGAGATGTAACAGCACATATACTGATATGTGAGCATATCTGCATGAGCTTTGTATGTAACAGAGACCTACCCAAAGTTCTCCCTAAATGTTTCTAGCCTGCTAATCTGTTCTAACTGTCCAGTGTAAAACAGACCCTAAAACCAACAGAAACCCCCAACCCAATAAAACCAAATCCCAACAAACAACAAACAAAACAAACAAATGAACAAACAAAACCCAAACAAAAAACCAAACAGAAAACCAAACCAAAAGAACCCATCTAATCCCGAAAGAAATTTCCTTATCAGGCTTATTGTTTTGATTAAGCACAGACAAATATATCCCATTTTCTTTTTAATGGAAAACACATCATATAATGTACATATGTCTTTCTTTCAAGCATACATGTGTGTCAGCAGTAGAGCACTGTCAGACTGCTAATTGCAAATTCATTCTAGATTACGTTTAATAGTCCAGGAACTTTGATGAATTAGAACAATTTTCAGCAGACTAGTGAAATTCAAAGCTGTATCTCTATGACAAATATGGTATGTCTTTCTTTTCTCTAATAGGAAAGATGTCTATTTTTCCTCATCCCCTAAAAGTGGCAACTGATTGCCTGAAAGTCAGTAATTAACCATATCTAATTTTTGCTTGGAAAGCACTGCCATTGTTATGAAGAGCTAAAGATAATCTCTTAGGAATAGCATCAGTTTACAAAAAAATAAGCAAGGTATGATGCTCTCCAATAAAATTTTCGTGCTGTACTTGAATGCTCTGATTTAGAGTTTCTTAATATTGTGGAAATTACTTACAGTGGTAAATAAAATCTCAATAAAATCTCAGCGTTTCAAATCTGAGACAATATGACAAGACTTTGAAGTGATTTTTATACGATTTCAATGCTTTTGTCTTGGAATTCAGATGACATTGTGACAGCATGTCACACAATTTATAAAAAAAGTAGCTAAAACGATAAAATAAACACCAGAGGCATAAATCTTGTCTAAGAACATGGTACATGCTCTCTTTTAGTCAAGAGTGTGTGTTTGTGTATATATATATGGGGGGGGAAGGCTATGGGGGTATGTGTATAAAACAGGTCCAAAACCATGACAGATTATAGAAAAATTCAGATTATAAAATACAAAAGCAGAAGCTGTGACTAAAAAAAAAATTAAATTAAATAGAAAAGATAGATGTAAACAATAACAAGGTAAAATAAACAAACAAACAAATTTGAAAACCAGCTTCTTTAAATATTTTTGAAATATAGAAAAAAATCCTGACAGCCTGGCAGGGAATCTGTAGTACTTACCTACAGATCAAGATCTAAAGTAGGTTCTCAAGAGGATGGAGACACCATAAAAAGTCAGAATGGATTATTTGACTCAGTGCTCTGTTTAGAAGAGCTTATGACAATCTAGACCCCATCCTCTTGAGTGGGATAGGGCAGACGAACTATCTCAGCTTCTAGTGCCATCATTTCAAGTTTTAGAAAGAACTGATGAAATGAGTATTGATACCATAACTATTTTTGCCCAAAATTTATGAATAAATCAACATATGAAAAGTGCCAAAATATGGTTTGTAATTTATCTACTGAATATCCACTTTACAATAGAAAAGAAGCAAGGTTGTAAACACAGTCACACACTAAAGGGTTTTGTAGGAAAATTTAGATAACTGCAGGCTAGTAAGCCTGATGCTTTTAATGGGTAAATTAGTTGAAACTACAGTAAATAACAGGTTCAGTAGACACCTCATGTCGTGATAAAGAATCAAATGACTTTTCTAGAGGGAAACCATATTTATTAATCTGCCAGAGTTCATTGAAGTATCAAAAAACATATGAAAAGATATTTGATTTTACTCATATTCAGGAATCTGAACACGTTTCTCAGCAATGAATCTTAACCAGCCATGGATCAAAAGGAGTGCTCCAAGGGATTAAACAAAATATAGGAAAGGGGATTTTCATTTGCTATGGAGAAAGGAGGATATTAGAAGAATCCCAAAGAGAGATGTTCTGGATCAAGTTGTATCAACTAGAGTCATAAGTGATTGCGAAAAAAAAAAGAAAATTACAAATTCTGATAATGCAATTACTTCAGGTGTACAACACCAGCATTTCAAAAATTAAAATCTTGTGTGTGTCTGAGTGCCAATATGGAAGAAAATTTACATATTGTCACTAAATGCAGAACAATCACCCTGAAGAAACAGTACTGAACATGTATAAATTATGGTGGACTTTATCTTCTTTGTTGCTAAAGAAACCTTAGTGAGTATTTGAATTGTTCCTACAAACAGAAAAATATATATAAAGAAAATTCATAAAGAAAATTACAGAGACCAGAACAGAAATCTCTAAACTCAAGTAAATTAGTGATGAACTGCTAGCATGAATATTATGCACCATCTCATTCTATCCCTTCTCAAAAGCAACATAATTGGATTATATAATGTACAAGGAAGTGTAACCTCTATATTCATAGTTACTGAATGACCTTTGTATAGGGAATGATGAAGTAGGTTAGAAAGCAACTGGAAAAAGAGACATGACAGGGTGGAGTATTTGATATAATCCTGAATGAAATACTTCATTAAGTCTTGGATGTTTTACCAAAGGATGTTTGGATGCCAAAAATATAATTGTATTAAAGTGAAATTAGAACCAAACATGTACTATTTCACGTAGTGATCAAGATGTTCTTATTTATGAAGCTTGTAAAGTGGGTGGATTTATCAAGAGAATTATCATACTGAGGTTCTTATCCTTTGAAAACACAATCTCTCTATAGAAGAGAGATCTATTCTCTTTTCTAGTGTCATCTTAGACTAAAATGATGCCAGTTTTGACTTACAATGGTGGTTTGCATGCCTTTTTTATGTATGAAAAAGTATAAATATTTTTACAGTCACCGAACTGGTTAGCCATTTTTATGAAAACGTCTCAGAAATTATTCTCTTTTTGAGATGCAGAAATACAGTCATATCTTTATGATGGTAGAAACTAGTTGGGGTTTTATTTTCTTACAGTATACCTCACATATTTCTGATTTAGAAATAGTTCATCATGTATTACTATGATGCATAGGATGCCAGATATATGAACATGAACAGCAACAGATTACAGGCGATAAGCATCAGCCCTAGGCACAGTATAATCCTGGTTTCTCAATCATCTTTGATGCAAAATAAGATACAAGTCATTCAAACTGATAGCTCAGTCTATATTGAATTTTATTCCTAGAAATGACATTGTGTAAAACAGTTCAGACATGTGGTCAGGTGTCAGGAAATCCATTCAGTCTTCTTGTCCCATAGAGAATGAGATCAAGAGACTTCTCATGTGTTATTTACACAGGTACTACCAAAATTATAATTAAGACATGCTAAAATGTTTCTTGGTGTCAGTGAATAATAGTGTTCATAAACAATTTTACTCCCTGGGCTATTTCAGTTAGGCTGTATAAAAGCTTAGCAAACATGGGCAAAATTTATCTAGAAGAGGTAAAGTTACTATAATTTTAACAGAATATGGTACAATCTGCTTTCTAATCTTGTCTCATCACATGGCAATGCACTGTTAGGGTTAATGGAGAGTTATGTAGTATAGTCATATAAAATATGAACATCAGTTTTGTTGACAACACCAACACGAGCTTTTTTAGCTTTTTCATATTGAAAATGTAAAATGACTATTAAAAAGTGTAATGGCACAGAACATCTTGTTTAAAAAAAGAAAAAGCCTTTTACAGTATTCTTGTTTATAGATGATATTTATTGCCTTTGTAGTCTTATGGTGTGCTTCTAAGTCAATTGAAATGCAAGTGCTAATGAAACCCCTACCATAACACATTCATTCTTTTTTTACACCAAATGAGGCTACTACAAGATGTAAATGACTTACATATATCTGCTGTTCAGGTTTTATTGTTTTAGGTTAATTTATTCACTGTAATATTCTTAATGAAACTAATGACTCTTCCAGTAGTTTGTATGTTCATATGTTACAATTTTATTAAATCATGCTGTGATAGTTCACACTGGCTGCTCTAAACATTCCTGAAGTTTCATGCTATACTTAATATATAAATGTAATCTTCTAGTAGATTATCAGCATAGTATATTTTGTTATCCCTTGCTCTTTCTAATTTGTTCACACCAGGGTATATCTAATGTACAGTGGTGGTTGTACAGACAGGGCTGTAACATTTGTATGCATTTTATTAGCATAGTCAGAGCTAGTTTATTAACACAGATCAAAATCTACAAAGCAGAGTCAGCTCAATATATATAATTATGTTAAAATATACTTTATTGTTATGCAGATTTAGTGTAAATTTACTGTTCCAGATAAAAAAAGATAAAAATTCTTGTTTGTCATCTTCAGAACTGACTTTAAGTGCTCAAGTTGACTGTTTTCAGGGGCAATTAAGAAAAAAATCTGGTGACTAGCATACTTTCACCTAACTCACACAACTGTAAATTCTGACTAACAACCACATCTAAACTATTGGATAATACTGTTTCACATGACCAAAATATCCTAGAATTCCTTCATTACATAAACAGCTTGCATTTTTTTAATTAAATTTTTTTCTTCATCAATACTGGAAGCTCTCACTTCATGTTCATGTTCAAACATGAGGTACAACACATCAGAAGGAAGGAGGAAGAATTACTAAGAACAGTGTGCAAAATAAACACCTGAATAGCAAAAAAAATTTAAGTGAGCTGCCCAAGGACACAGCAGGCAACAACAAAAAGAGCTTCTGGACACTGGACTCCATTTAAGCCCAGCACAATCTATTTTAACAGAAAATTAAAAGTGTTGAGATATGAGCTTACTACCTGTACTGCAGTTCTAAGACAATATTACCAAATTATCTGAATATCTACTGTGCTAATTGTCATGCATCATATATAGATTAACACAAAATAATGCTCTCCTCCTTAAAACAGCATCAATCTCAGGATTATTCTCCATCCTTTTCCAATATGAAGGTTTCCAGGCTTCATTCACTTAAAAGATAGGTAAAAAATTGGTTAAAAAAAAAGGTTTAAAAATGAAGATAATGAATCCTTAATAACATGTAGAAAGTCACTGAATGGTCACTGAATGTTAATCTTCTTTTAGTAAACAGCTGTCAGTTTTCACTGTGCATTCTTCTCTCGCTTACTCTACAAAACAGGAACTGTTCCATGGAAGTAGCAGAAAAGAGCATTACTCACAGAATCCATTGTGTTACTGATGTGACAAGGCACTGCAAACAGCCTTCACCTTCCATTCCATCCTATACCAGTGTGAAATTGAAGAGCGATGATGTAGACAATCACTTGGAACCTGCAGATTATACTTTAAAATAATAAACTGTTGAAATAAAGCATGTATTTTTGACTGTATTGACCAAAAGGTGGTCTGCTATGAGTGTTAAATTTTGTTAAATTTCTTTTTTGTAAGATTCTTAGTGTGGGACATATCAGCCTCATGTAATTACAAATACAAGAGCTACAATAAGTGTCCATAGAGCTGGAAGAAAATTTTCACAGATGGTTTAGCATTTAGACAAAAAACCATTTTGTTGTTATTGCTCTTGTCTCTTTTTCTGTTTTTCCCAATGCTATTCTGAGACTCTCTTACAAGTTTTAGATTAATAGTTGGAT